TTTTAGTAAGGAAGCTGTGCACTTCAACCTGGTTGCAAGTAGGGCATGTGGAAAAAGCAGGTTACGATGCTTTTATTTTTCACATTTAAGTGCTAAATGCCAGTTATTTTCTGTCTCACTTTTCAGCCATGTAAAGTTTTGCCAAACTTGAGCTATTTGCTATTTGAATTGAAATTTCCTGTTACCTATTTGCTGTAGCAAATTTTCTGAGAAACCTTTGAGCAATTTCAGGCAAGTGGTATATGCAGGACACCAACAGCTATTTCCTACCTGCAAAAGAGCTTGTGATGAAAGAGAAACAGTTCAGATATATTGGGAAGGGCAAATCCTGCTCTAATTACAGCGAGCAGGGAAAGCCTGCTGTGCTCACCCAGGACCTGAGATGGGCTCTTCATACCTATTGATGGATACAGAATTAGGCTACAATGCCTAGAAACTTCTAGCAGTCTGTGTGACATTCCTCTGAGTAACAAATGAGTATATTACTTATAATGGCATGCAAATGAATGAAACATTTTAGTCAAAAAACCTAGATACAGTATTTACCTGAGGAAATTCACCATAAGGGTAGGAGCTTTAGTTATAATTTTTTAGTGCTGATTCAGGCACATTCTGGACCATGCCCTACCCTAAGTAAGGGGAGGAGGTGGCTTGCTTCTTTCCAAATCAAGCATAATTTTGGTGAGAATGATAAAACGAAATTGCCCCAGAAATCCTTGTAGAATCCACAAGGAATCAGATAAAGCCATCAACATGTTTCTCCCTTGCTGAATCCATTAGCAAAAATTTTGATGACTTGAACAATGAGAGCTCCCCTAGCATCATCATCAGTACCAAAGGCCACCCTCAACCAGCTCATTAAACAAGGAGCTGCTTTGGGCTTTGTGCTGCATCCAGGCAGTGAGAGAAACCTGCCTTTTGTTCAGGCCAGGCGTGTGTTTCTGGCAGCAAATCTGGTCTGCTATCACAGTGCCTGAAGTTTGCTTTCAATGGGAAATCCAAGCACAGGAAAATGAAAGGCATTTGCTTCTCAAGAGATGCAGTTGAAATCCAGAAAGTCATGTGTGGTGAAACTCATACAAAAAAATTTAAGTTCACTTGAATTTTCTGTTTCAGTTTTTATTTCTTACTTTTTGTATTCTATTTTTAGTTGGTTGGATTGGGAAGGTTGCTGAGCACTTGTTCTGGTTGGGGATGGTGTATTAATGTGCTGTTAACAAACTAGTAGTAGTTCTAGAAAACTGGTATTTGGATTACTGTAGACATTGGCCCTTACATATATTTCCAAGGGTGATGTTGCAGTAACTCCTGGAGAGATCACTGGAAAACTGAAAGGATCCAAGCTATTTGCCGTTGGAAATCAAAACAGTTTTAAGATAAATAACTGAAGTCATGATACTAAACTTGGTCTTGATATAAGTCCAGCCCAAAAGGAGACAGCTGCTGTGGTGCTTGAACTGAGTGGCCTGTAACATGCATCCCTCTTGGGCTGAGTTCACTTTGAGGTTCAGCCTTTCATTAAACTCTGGGTACCAAAACTCCTTGCTGCATGGATCATGACCCCATGGCCTAAGGAAAACAAGGTGGGCCAGGTGAGCCAGGATTGAAGGTGGTGAGAAATTCTTAACATATGGCAGATCAATTTGAAACAGTCCCTGTACTGTAAGAATACAGTTCCCTTCAAATGCATAATCTGTTTCTCGTGCAAGACACGTGGCCCAGTAGAGAAGTTTTAGGTCAACTAATTCAGTTAAAGATTAGCCTCAATATTCTGAAAGAGAAGACTGTAGTTACTTATGGAATTTAATTAATTATAAATGATTATACTGGGCACCACGCTACTGCTACGGTATCAAATCTTTTTGTGGGTTTGCTAAATTAACCTTTGTAATAGAAGGGCTTCTTATGTTCTTCCGGTCAAAAAGAAAAGATGGTTTTGAGTTTGTAGCAACTTAAAATGCTGATGATTTGGATCCTGACCTAAAATTCATAGGTTTTTCCATTTCTTCCTAAATCATATTCCTCTGCTGTTTTACAAATGAGTTTAAGAGATGTGTCCTGCTCTAATTTAAGATTGTGTGCAGGATACTTAAAAAGGAAAGAGGGGCAGAAACAAATGCAGGTAGTGAGGGGGAAGATACTGCAATTGAAGGTAAACTGATTATCATTTGTGAAATTATATTTGGAAAAGTGAATTCAGTGAATGTAATGTTAAATCTCACAGTTACATGTAATGAGAGGAAAGGCTTCAGTTTTAGGTAATGGTATGTGTGTTGATGTATGTTTTCTCACAGTAAGTGTGTAATTTAGGTTGTACCTCCCTCCGGTATTCATGGCAGTACACATTATTTATGCTCCCCTGTTAGTTTGTGCAATATATACTGTCCTGGTCTTGAAACTGATGATGACCTGACTATTACAAAACTCTGACAGGAACTCTTTGCCCTGGAAATCTGGATCAGAACAAGTCCATGCAATTGAAGTAGTAATGGAATTACCATATGATGTTGTGTTATGTTAAGCTGCTTTACAAGGCAGACAAGGAATAGAGACAGCTACCAATGAGTACTTTGCTCCACGCTCTACTTGTGGGACCTGGTGAAATAAATCCTATCCCAGTGGCAGTTAATGACAGGCCAACTTAGCCAGCTTTTGACCAGTGTGAGAAAGCTGCTCAGCTGCACATAACTTCTGTGTGGTGGGTGTGTGCATAATGCAGTAGGTTGTGATAATGTCTAATGTTTGAATCCCTTAGAAATTTAATAGGCTTGTGACGTAGTTGGTTCTCATCATGCTTAAGGGAAAGTATGAAGGACTTTGTCTCTCTAGATCCCATTTACTAAATATTGTTGTGTTTGAAAGGTCTGATCTCTTCCTTGTACTTTTCCTTCATATGCTGATTTCCAAAAGGTGGCGACATTGGCATGAGGAACAAGCTTGTTGTACCTTGTTGGGGTGCTGTTGCTTTCTCTCTTCAAAATAGCTGTTCCTTTTCTTTGCTTTTGTTCTTAGGACTTGCTCCATAAACAGGCAATGTGAATACATTACTGTTCTCATAGCCATGATATCTTAGGGCTTCCAAACAAGTTGTTTCTTTCAAGTCCAGGACAAGATTATAGAGTGAAAAATTACTGGCCTGTTTAAAAAAGGCACTTTAGGAAACTGTTATTTTGATACCTTTGATCAGTTACGTTTTCTATAACGCTTCCCATGAAAATGGTAGGATCAGATATTTCTAGAGAGACTTTCTGTGGCTATTGCTTTCCTCCTGGGCTGAGGAATGCTTGGATAAGAATATTGGCTGTGGATTTGGCATATCCTGTGGCAGCATTATGTTAATGTTTTTGTGCAGAAGTTTGCTCTTTGTGGCATTGAAAGGGTATGAATGGGAACTAGAGAAAAGAAGAAAATTTAAAGAGAATGCTAAGTAGAGGTGAAAGGAAACCAAGAAATGATGGAGTTAGGAAGAAAGAGAAGATAATCCACCATTCATTTTCTCAGACTTTGCAGACAAGGTGATTTTTTTTCAGCATTTCAACATTCCATCTACAACTTATGCTAATGATAATCACAGCACTGGGGTTGTTTACATGCAGCATATAAATGCTGCCTGCATATACACCAGTATGGCAAAATGGATTGCCAGATCCCAACACTGCTTGATCTTTCACCCTTCTGTTTTGGTTTTAATTTAATTACAGAAGCATTTTCAACTTCTGAGATTAATTTTTTATGCTTTAATTATTATTTTTTTCATTAATACAAGTTTTAACTAAAAGCACTGTTAATTAAATTAAAGTAAGCAAGCAAAAGAAAAG